TATTTTTACGTAATTATTATTTGGCTTTACATTATTTTAGTTCTGTCTCACTGAGACCAAGCACATTGTTAAGAGAAAATACTTTTTTCTTTCTTTCTTTCTTTTTTTTTTTAGAACCATGTATGGGGGGTACAGAAGAGGCAGATTTTTACAGTCTGCCTGTTTTTAGGCTTTATTAAAATTTGAAGTTTATAATTCAGCTCAAAAATGTCTGAATTATCACTTTATATTTTGCCAGGTTAATTAGTTTTAACAAGAAACTTAACCTTTTACAATTCAAATAAGTAAATTTAAAAGCTTTTATTTAATCAATAAGCATTTTGTATAGCTTGTTAGCAAGTCCAAAGTAACTCAGCAGTTTTTACCTTAGACAACCTAGACTTTAAAATCAGAAAAACACAGGGAAATAGAACTTTTTCCCTAGAATGAACCAAAATAATTTTTCAAGGTGGACAAAGGGAGAGTCCAATTCCCCCACAGTTGGAAGGCAACAGAGACATACCAATGATATCAACTCTGGAGAAAAAGTCCAGACAGCTGCTTGCTGAGACCAAAGGCAGTCCCCCACCAGCCAGTTGTAGTGGGTCCCTTACTTTTTAGTCCCCAGCATTTTTACCTTTTGCCTTGACTGTGACCAAGGAGGGTTATCTGGAGAAGATGCCATTTATGGCCAAATTGGGCTAGTTTTGAAGAATGTGGCTTAAGGGCATGTCCCATGGAATTGAGATAGAGCATTTTAGACAACAAAACTGATTTTTTTTTTTTTTGTCATAGCCCTTGAACTGGCAGTAGCCCAGAGCCTGATATTTACTTGTCTTAAACTCCCTTTTGAAAAAATGCCATGAGACAAATTTATAATACCAAAGGTATAATTAGCTGGACCTAGGATTTGAGGCAAACCTGTATATACATCTCTGTCATAATAGGAAACTCAGCCTCTCCTGCCTGTGCCAACTGGCAGGATTAAAATAGACACCAGGGAAAAGGCCCCCAGGGGTGCCCCAAGATTTTTATAAAAGCCTCTTACATCTTCCAACTCATAAACTCACTTGACAAAAGCTGAAGGAAGTTTGCCTTATAGGGGGAAGGACCAAGAAAGTGAAAGTCCTTTTTTAGACTGTTAGACCTCCGTGACTCTCACCTAGGTGCTGACCTAGCAGAACGCCTTTTCTGGACCATTGGATCTCCTGGATGTCCAGGGTTCCAAGGGTCACAGCTTGGCCACTCTGAGCACCCTTGTAGTCCACGGATGAGAGAGAAAAGTGAGGAATCAATGACAAGAAAATCCTGACATTCCCACTCAGCAAGTGGGGGATCAGGAAACCTTGCCAGCTGAGAATTTTTTTTTGCAATCAAATAAAGTACAGAGAAAAAGTTTGTGAAGTCTACTGCCTGTCTGAAGCCCCACAGGAAACTGAGAAGTAAATCAGTTGTAGTGCAAGAGAAGGAAGAATGGGGAGGAGAGAGAGCAGGGAAAGATAAGAGGAGCCATATAAATTATCCTAACAGGGATCTGAGGCCAGGATGGTGTTCTGTGTCGGATCCTGTGTGGTGCTTACTGAGGAATGACTTTCCCAACTGTCACATTGGGACCATTCATCTTCTACTGGATCTCAGCAACTCCTCCTCTGCTGAAGGCAAGGGAGGATGACCCGAGCTGCTGGGAGATCAGCCCCTTATGTGCAGCTCCTGGATGGCCTCTACATGACATTTGTGCCTAGCACTTTGGAGACTGTAGTCCCTCATACGATGACAACCAGACTTTTATTCTCTGACTGGCACATGGGCTAGTCTCCTTACCTGGTCTGGTCACCAGTTTATCCTTACAGGAGGTTTTGTTTTTTTTTTTTAAAGATTTTTTTTTTTTTTAAGATTTTTTTTTTTAATAGAGACATGTTTTTTATTTATTTATTTGTTTGTTTGTTTGTTTTGTTTATACAAGCACTGGGTACAGTCAGAAGCGCGGGAGGGTGAGAGAATTCACCAGAGCCAGAGCGGGGAGCAGAACAGGCAGAAGGACCGAAGTACACTGCTGAGGGGAGCAGCGGGCGGCAGGAGAGGTCTGCACGCCATGTGGGACCCTCCTCCGGTGGCTGGGGAGCATCCGGGGATTGAACCGGCGCCTCAGAGGCCGCGGGCAGCTTCGCAACCCAGCGCTCTACCACTGCGCCACCGGGGAGGCCCCTTACAGGAGGTTTTAAGGCAGTCACCCTTTGGCATTTACTGACTGTTCTGTGCCCTTTTTATGGCCTCTTTGATTGCTCCGAGAAAAAGAAAATGTTTAGTAGGAGGAGCTTAGGACAAGATGAAGATAGAGAAAATTTGTGCCTCTCGGCTCACTTACATTAAATCTTGTGAGATCCTGGACGAGCCCCCAAAATGATACCGGAAATGCCAGGCCTAGTCTCCCAGCCAGGAACAGATCCCAGGTTGCAGGGGCAGAGCTTAGTCCCAGCCACTAGACCAGAGCATTCCCCCACCTTGTTTTAAGTTTTTTTATTCAAACTCCCATCCCTGGGGAACCAGGGACAACACATTTGTACAAAATTTAGAAAATTAGCCAATAGCACATACAAGGTTTTTATCCCTCTCTTAAGAAGCATATGTTTAATAATATCTATAAAGAATCTCCTTTCTCTAGATTCTTTATGGTATATCACTTCTCAACTATCAGTTCTGAATTACTGCTCCTATATAAACTTTGCTTATCTCTGCAAAGCGGGGCACTCTGCCCTATTGAGCAGAGTCTCACCTGTCCCTGAAATAGAAAGGAGGATTACCTTACAGGCCCCACGCTGGGCGCCACTTGCTGGGGACCAGCCTCGGCAAACTGTCGTGTCAGGGGTTCCCGTAAGGATGAGACAGTGTGGACAAACCTGAGGGATTAGGGGGAAAGAGGAGGGGGAGTGAGAAGACTCAGATACCTGATCAGAGTGCAGACAGCATCCTGCTGAGGGTCTCAAAAGCCCTTTGTACATTTCAAGCAAATCATGAGAGTACATAAGCATATGCATTAAGGCAGGAAGATAACAATCATCACATCTTTCTCAAGAACAGCCAAGGGTCTATTTGCCCTCTTGCAAAGGTCATTACATTTATAATTTTTTGATTTAAAGAAGGCACAGTTGCTAAACAAAAGTGTTCTTAGAGTAGTCATTTACTTTAAACAGTCATTTTATTACTATCAAAAAGCTTATGTGACTGCAACTAACATTTCTATGTTTGCCATGGTGAAGGATTAACTAAGGGCTAGGGAAACAAAGGGCAGGAAGTTACCTAGGGGAAGGGAGACAAAGGTTTTTTTCTTAACTAACCTATAAAGTTTAGACTAACATATAACCAAAAACGATTAAAGCAAAAAACAGAAGGCTATTATAAAGAAATCATCATGTATAGTTAATGCCAGGCAAGCCACACTGACTCTTCCAGAGCCCCCAGCTCTCAATTAAGGGAGGAATTCTCCTAATCTAACAAAAGAGTTTTCTTCCTATTACTCCTCTACTTATCTAGTCAGCCTAGTTTCCGTATATGACTTTAAGATCAAGGGAAAATTTCTTTCTCTGTAAGATTGCTGATTGTTGTTTTAAGGAATTGCAAATATTTCATCAGGGGCAGGGTCAGAGATGGTTATAGCTTTTGGTTCTCAAAATGGTTTATATGTAACATATCAGTTGTTGTAACATTGACTATTTATTTCCAAGTGCATTATTTGTGCTGCCATGGTTATTAGCTCGACCAGTCACAAAATTGTTGTGGACTTACTCTTGAATGCATACACTAACAGCTACCATACCCACTGTCACATCCAGGGGAATCAGCCCTAAACAAACAGGAAGAATTTAGCAGGAGCCGGCTATGGCGCCTCCTGGCTTATTAGGAATTTTCTTACACTTGGAGCATGGCCACCCAACTGCTATCTTTAACTTTAAAGTAAGAGAATTTCCTTCTGCATTTAGCCCTTACCTCAAAAGACCACATCTCCATATTAAAGACCTGGCCAAGGGATGTTTATAGCTTTTTGTTCCCAGAAGATTTTTCACTTGTTAATGTAAGGCTGAATGTTGAATTACTGCCTTTTGGCAGAGAATTACTAATTTTATAAAAAATGTAATATTTGTATCACACAGTGCCATTTGCCATCAAATTGGTTATTCAGTAATTGATCAAAAAGCATTTTTAGTTTTACCTTTAAATGCATATTTTGACAATAGTAGAAACTAGCCATAAACAAATAAGGAGAATCTAGTAGGAGTCAGCTAACTAGATTCCTAACTTTTCAAGAATCTGCCCCAGGCCCGGACCTTTGTCAGAGGATATGAGTAGTATGGCTCCCACCAGGCTGCCTCCTGCCCTGTCACTCCCCAGCCCTGAGGAGAGGGCGCCTGCTCCTGCCCCAGCTCTGTGCTCTGCCTCCTCCCCTACCTGCTGCTCCTCCTCCAGCTGCCCTCTGGGAGGTCCCAAGGTGAGTATGTCCCTCCCTGTCCTATGTCACCCTCTGGTGCATGGGGCCCAGGGGCTCTGGGAGCTCCTCCTTCAGGAATTGCCTTTGTCAATTTGACTTAGCATAAATGCCTTCAAGTTCCATCCATGTTTTTTTAAATAACATGATTTAACTTATTTAAAAAAAAAGTCTGTGGGCCTCCCTGGTGGCGCAAGAGGTTAAGTCTCAGCATTATCAAGCTATCATCAGTCACTGTAACAGGAGTTCGATCCCTGGCTAGGGAGCTACCCTCCTGGTGCAGCAGACCTCTCCTGCTCAACTGCTGCTCCCTTCAGCAGTGTATTTCAGTACATCTACCTGTTCTGATCCCTGCTCTGTCTCTGGTGAGTCCTCTCACCCCCACAACCCCACACCTCTGGCTTACACCCCATCCCTTGTATGTATACATAAATAAAATAAATCTTCAAAAAAAATCTGAGTACTATTTTATTATGTGTGTGTGTATTTATGTAATTTTGCTCTATTTCTTTGAATGTACCTCTGTTTTCCTGTCTCTCTCTTCAAATTGTGGAATATCCACCATGCTTATGTTGCCTTTCCTCCTAGTTAGTTAGTTCCTGGTTAGTTCTTCCAGTTTTTTTTTTTTAATTTTTCACTTTTTTCTTCTAATTCAGTCCATTATTCTTTATTAGTGTGAGGTCAACTGATTTGATCTTCTCTTTGGTCTATTCTGCTCCAATAGCTTCTCCAGGAGTGAGTAGCTTCTCTGCTATCTTTTTTTACAACCCCATCTCTGTGATGTTAATTTAAAGCTTCAATTTCTATTTTCCATTCACTGATTTTATTTTCCAAGTCATTCATTAGTGTTCTGAATTTTGTTTTATCTTTTTTTATTCACTTTTCTGTGTTTCTCCATCTCTTTGACTTTCTTTATGATGGCAATTTGAACTCTACCTGATAGTAAGATATGATCTTCCATATCTTTGTAGTTGCATATTGCATCATTGGTCTCATCTTGTAATACCACGTTCCCTTGAGATCTCAAGTTTCTGCGGCTTATTTTGCTGCTTTAAATTTCCTATTTTTGAAAAAATGCATCTGTAGTGGTAAATTACAGAGTTCAACTACTTCTGCTTTCCATCAGGTGACATTGTGTTTTCAGACATGTAATTTATGCAGGACTAGAGACCTGATCCTTGAGATGCTGAGTCAGAGACTGTGGGGCCTGCAGTCATCCAGCCTCTGAGATGGGTGCCCTGGCTAGGGCATGTGAGCTAATGTTTGTGGCACCCCTACACCCGCCTCTCTGAGATTCTCCCTGTGCACACTGTCCCTGAGCTTCAGGAGGGTGGGGACAGTCCTGAGTGGGGAGGGGGGATGCATCCAGCTCTGTGCCTTGTTTCTTCTCTGAGGACCTTGGTAGCTGGGAGCGCCCAGTCAGAGCTGTGAGCCTCCTCACTGTCAGCTCTCCCTGCCCAGGGTCACGTGCCTGGTTGAGTGACCACCACAGTGTGTGCTGCAGCCTCCCCCACCCTGACCACAGCCTCCAGGTGTCTTCTCTGCCTAACTCTAGTCAGTGAAGCATGACTCTTCTCTGTGTTCCTTTTGGTGCTATCTGCCTGGTGACGGCTGTAGAGAGTGCCCCGTTTTGTCGCAAGCCTGGTGTTCTCTGGGTACCCTGTCCACTCATTCACATTGATGATCCTCTGTGCAATGAAACGGATTTCCTCAGACACCTTCTTAGTACCCCAAAAAATCTTTTGAAATGCACATTCTTGGGTACATCCCAATCTGTTGCATCAGACCTGGGGTAGGGTCCTGGCATTTTACCATTACAAGCCGTCATCGTGATTGTGTTGCTGAAGATGAGAACAAGAGATTTAGAGTTTTTTATGGAAGGTCCTGCTATCAGGTACACTAGTGAATGAGGGAGCATCTTTGACATTATTTCTGGACCAAAAGTTGTGGTTGGAAGATCTTTCCCAGATTCAGAATTGTCACTGTTAATCCTTCATGTCAGCTGTCTGCTCATCAGACACCCTCCCTCAGCCTGCCTGGGCCTCCCCCAGTAATAGTGTGTGTTCCCTAATATGACTGTGTCTCTCAGCCTTTCTAACTCCCATGTTTGTGTTCACAGAGAGCTTCCATGTGCTTGACCCCAGACCCCATTGTGGCAGAGCTGGGTGAGGATGCACACTGCCTTGCTTCCCTGTTCCCAGTCATGAGTGCAGAGAACATGGAGTTGAGGTAGTTCCGGCCCAAGGTCTGGGAATCGGTGTTCACCTATTAAGATGGACAGGAACAACATGAGGAGCTGATGGCCCAGTATGCAGGGCAGACCTCACTGGTAGGGGAATTCCTTAGTGAGGGGGAAGATGCTGTGACCATCCACAAGGTCCAGGCTACTGACAATGGGCTGTACACCTGTTTCTTCAGCAACAGAGACTTCCGTGGGCAAGCCAGCTTGGTGCTGCAGGTGACAGGTTGGTGACATGTTAAATATCTCAGAGTCCTGGAGTTTTGGAATTGGGGAGAAAATAAGGGCAATGGAATTTAGTTTTTCATTTCATTTATGAGTAAGAAAAGGCTTATTAATTCATGCTTTATGAAATGTAAATATGCAGGGTACCTACCACATGTCTGGCTCTGTTCTAAGCTCTTGGACACAAAAGCAAATTTAATAAAGTTCTTCACTCTGTGAGTTTATTTTTGTAGTGGGAGAAAGAGCAATTGTAATAAATAACCAGGACATAAATGACTTTTCAAAGCGAGAAGGGATGAGGACAGGAAGCTAAATGGAGCAGGGAGATGGGTCAGCAATGTGGGGTGGGGCTGAGGGGAAGTTATAGTAATAAATAGCAGCTCAGGCTGGGGCCATGGGAGCAAAGACTCCAGGGAAGTGGGAATACAGCTGAGTAGATATCTGATGTGTGGGTGTTCCTTTCTCCCCAGTTTATAGACAGATAATTACTATGTATCATATGTAATGTGAGGCATACAGCATAATGACTGATTTATATATACAGTGAAGTGATGGCCACAATAGGTTAAATCACATCTGTCAGCTATTATAGGTTTGATAAAAAGAAAAAAAATGAAGCAAAAGGGAAAATTTCATCATTGTGGAAAAAATTCTTTGGAGTTTGTCTTTTAACAACTTCCCTACACATCACACAGCAATGTTGGCTATAGGCACATTGCACATTACAGGGAAGGGAATTTCTACTTGTAGGCACAGCCCATGTGAATGACCTGGGGGGAGCGTATGTTTGGTGTGTGATCTGCTCACATGGAGTCCTCATGGCTGGTGGGGGAGAGAGAGGGGCAGGGTGTTGTGAGGTGACAATACTCTCATAAAAAATGTGGTAAGTACATGGCAGAGAGGTCAAGGGTGGCTGATGAATGCTCCCAAAGGTAATCATAAAAACCTCCATAGGATGTAGATATTTGAGCTGGGACGTTATTATATCTAACAGGTTCTATAAAGCCCTCAGATCAGATGCAGAAGGGACGATGGAGTCCACAGAGCCTGGCGATTGTGGACAACAACTATTAGATTCTTTAGTTTGGGGTGCTAGGCCTTGAGGGCACAGGTGTAAAAAGTGTGAGCACTGCAGAGAGAAGAGGCTGGGGAGAAGTTACAGAGAGGAGTCCTGGTGCACATGTTGTGGTGTTTGCATGTGGAGCTGTTGGAGATTTTCAGCACAGCAGCACTTAGCATGATGACTCTGGCAGGAGTGGGGAGGACATGGGCAGGGACAATATCTGGAGTTGTGGCTGTAGTTACGGGGTGGGGACCTGGGCTGGTTCACACAGTGGTGGTGGGTGTATAGGAGGTGCCCTCAGTGAGGTTCAGAAATAACCCAATTGATTGAGGAGAATTGGGTCACAGAATTTAAAGTGGAAGAAGGGATTGCAGAGGCTTCTGAGGTTTTGTAGAGTCTGTTATTTAATGTCAGGAACATTGATAAATGTGTATCAGTTGCCGGTTACCATAGTGATGCTGTGTAACAAACTCTCAGGGGTCTGTAGTAATGGACTTGTATTCACATGGGCTGGAGGGGACTTCAGCTAACCTGGGATTGACTTGACTATTCTCCACTGAACATACTCCCACATTTTTTTGTCAGGTGAAAAGGTCACCATGTGGACCTTACCTGGGCTTGTTTACAAGAATGATGGAAACTGAGTATTGGCGGAGGGAGACCAGCTTTGGGGGAAAGACTGGTGACAGGCCCTGCTCCATGAGCTCATTCTTCATAGCACCTGGAGTATGATGTCCTTCCATGGAGCTGGCAGAGGGAAGACCCATGGGGCCAGCACTTTAAACCTCTGCTGAGTCACATGAGCTGATCATTAGACACATGAAGTCACATGACTGAATCCAAACATGGCAGAGTGTGAGCCTGATATGAAGATGGATGAAGAATTAGGAACATTTTTATCACTAATTTACCTCAGATGAGACAATAGCATGAGTTCAGATGTAGAATTTTGGGTATGAAGAACATGTAAGGAATCCTGGCAGATGTAACCCACAGGGATGGGTTATCAGGGAAGGAGGTAGGAGGCTGGCGAGGTGATATCTGGAAGTGATGTGTGAAGAGACACAGAAGCTGAGGGAGAATTCCTGGGAACGGGTGTGCGATAAGACAGGGCTTTAAGGACTGGACCCTGGGACTGTGCTGCCTTCCAGGAATAGGAACAGGGAGAAAAGTCAGGAAAGCGGCTCAGCAGGGGTCCAAGTCACAACAAGGCACCCTCAGACGGAAGTGACCAACCCAAGATGGTGGTGGTTTCAAAATGAGGTCAGGAGTGTCCTGAAAGAAGGGAGACTGGATGAGAGAACCTTGGAGACTGGAGTGGACAAAGGGAGACTTTGGTTGAATCACCCAGAACAGAATGGACTGGAAGGATAAGCTGCCAGATGGAGGCTGAGAGGTTGCTGAGAAATAAGAAAATACAGATGTTTATGGATTATAAGGTGTACTCTTCAAACAAGAAAAGAATTCTCCGAATGTTTGAACATGTTTATATAATTATAAAAATAGTAGGTAGAAAGGTAGAGATGAAAATATCAGGTCATCATCTTGCTCCCCAAGTGGTGGTTTCCAACAGACCCCTCAGTTTGCACCTTGACAGCCTCCCCTGGAGGTGTGCACAGGAGGGTCCTGCCCCACCTGACTCTCATCTCCCTCCACAGGTGTGGGCTCTGTCCCTCAAGTGCACATCACGAGCCGGAGGAGGATGGGATGCATGTGGTGTGCACGGCCTTGGGCTAGTTCTCAGAGCCCCAGGTGCTGTGGAGACACCCCCGGGGGGAGCAGTTCCTGGAGTTCTCCAAGGTCCAGGCCCAGGACACAGAGGGGCTGTTCAGCGTGGAGGCCACTCTGGAGGTAAGAGACAGCTCTGTGGGGACCGTGACATGCTCCATCCTCAACCCTATCTTGGGCCAGGAGAAGGCCATGGACATTGTCATCCCAGGTCAGCGCTGCCCCCCCTCCCTACTCCCTGCAGGGTCAGAGGGAGGGGCCGGCACTCCCAGGTGAACTGGGCTGGGGTGTCCCGGGCTGTGTCTTGATGAGGTCTCTGTGGGGTCTCTGTCTGCAGAGCCCTTCTTCCCCCAGACCTCTCCCTGGAAGCCGGCTTTCCTGGTAAGCCTGCCCTGGCTGCTGCTCCTGCTCCTGCTCCTGGGGGCTGCCTACTACACCCAGAGGGAACATTCTGCACAGATGCGGGAGCTGCTGCTCAGAGCATTACATGCTGGGTTAAGGAGTGGAACCTACAGACAAAGGAGGAGGCTCTGAAGGACACAGGTAAGGTAGGGCAGGGCAAGGCTGGTGAGTGTGGCAGTGGGTGCTGAGAGAGTCAAGCTGACACCAGAGCCAGAGCCCAGGGTCCCTCTGCAGGGAGATCAGAGCAGGTGCTGAGTCCCAGAGGGGACAGTGGAGCTTGGAGGCTCGTGTTGGTCTGAAGGTGGAACTTCTAGGACACAGAGATGTTCATTTTTGTGTCTTCTCTAGGCACACATTTTGTTCTTAGGGTCAAGTAATGCTTATATTTTTAATTCTATTGGAGATGAGCTCTAGGCAATTCCAGGTAAGCTCTGCTTTCCCTCCTGAACCCTGTGTCCCCTTCATAGGAGACACTCTGGTTCTTAGCTCACCTGTGTCCTGTGTTGTCTTTCAGACCAGAGGAAGGCAGCTTACCTGGCTGGTGAGTGATGCTCCAGGTGTCCTGGGTCCCTGTCCCCTGTGCTCAGGGGTCCCTCCCCTTGGGTGTCTCAGCACAGACATGTGGCCCCTTCCCTGGGGTGGAAGTGGGAGCTGGTAGGAGGCAGGACCCTGCTCCATGGGCTCTCCAGACCTGGGTGCTATTTTCCCCCCATTCTTGGGATCCTGGTGGGTGGTGACCCTTGGAGTTTCCTGAGTCCTCGTCTCATTCCAGCCCTGACTTTCCCACCATGGTGCTGGCTTTCTAGTCCTCAATGCATCTGGTTCTTGGTCAGCACCTGGAAGTAAAGCAGCTGCTCTGGGATTTGAAAAGCAAATGGACTCTTGAAGTTTAGGAGTGTAATCCCCTCCTGACCTTTCTCCCCAAACAACCCCAAGGAGAGTCTGTTCTCTCTGCTCCTGAAGATGCTGATCAGTAGTGCTGGGAGAGGTCGGCGTGACCTTGCATGGGAGGGGGTGGGGAGACTTTCCTCTCCCAGAGAGTGTTTATCACTAGAAACACTGCATTGGTGGAAGATGGGCCATTTCTACTCTGGAGCTGGTGTGATGTCCATGTTGTGGTTTTAAAGTGTTTTTTTGTTTTTGTTTTTTTTTATAGAGGCATGTTTTATTTATTTATTTGCTTGTTTGTTTGTTTGTTTGTTTTGTTTATACAAGCACTGGGTAAAGTCAGAAGCACAGGAGGGTGAGAGAATTCACCAGAGCCAGAGCAGGGAGCAGAGCAGGCAGAAGGACCGAAGCACACTGCTGAGGGGAGCAGCGGGCGGCAGGAGAGGTCTGCGCGCCTTGTGGGACCCTCCTCCAGTGGCCGGGGAGCAGCCGGGGATCGAACCGGTGCCGTAGAGGCCGCGGGCAGCTTTGCAACCCAGCGCTCAAACGCTGCACCACTGGGGAGGCCCCATGTTGTGGTTTTATTTCATCTTCCCATTAATTTCCAAGGAAATACTGAATGTAATAATTATGGAATAATATGTATGTTAAAAAATATCTTCCCATATACTGTTTTTGATCCTGTGTAGCAACACTGACTAGCAGGTGAAGCAGGAGCTTTGAAGGCTGAGGGGCCCAGAGCTGCTCAGTAACTTGCCAAAGTCCCACGGCAGCAGCAGGCAGCGCTGGGTCAGTCTGTCCTGCAGACTCCTGACCTGAACTAGGGGATTTCCCACCATCCTCTTCTGTCTGCACAGGGCAAGAGGTCATGAATTCTCAGCCTCTCTCATCTACCCCCTAGATAGTCTCACCAGCAGAACAGGGGGGAGACCAGGGCCCGTGGGTCACATGAGCAGCTGGTTATGCTGAGGTCTTACCTGTGTGTTCCCCTTCAGCCTGGAGGAAAGCCCAGCTGTACGCAGGTGAGTGGCCCTGAGGGGCTTGGGACTCCCTCCTAGTCTCTGTTCTCTATCAGGGGACCCTACCAGGAAGAACTTGGAACTCTTCCTTCACACTACAGCCTCCATCTGAGAACTGCAGGGCCCCTCTTGTGAGCACAAACCTACCTCCATGTGCCCTGTCCTCCCTGCAGGTCATGTGGGGTCAGGACACCCTCTGACCCCTTGTCACCTGATCCTTCCTGTGGTGAGGACAGTAGGAGTCAGTGTGAGGAGAAGCTGCAGCAGGGACAAGTGTGTGGTTCAGGATTTGCTGATTTCTGGAAAATTCCAGACATTCTACTTCCTGCTTCCAATTCAGGTCTTGCTAAGGGGTCCTGGGTTATGGATCCCTCTGGATCCCAAATCCCAGTCCTATTTTGGATCTAGTTTTTGTTTCCTGTTTCCTCTTGATTCTCTGTCTTCTCATGCATGCTCTGATTCATGTTCCCACTGCATTTTTCTTATAATCCCTTGTGGGTGCTGAGGAATCAGTTGTTTAGAGCAAGTGTCTGAGTCTGGTCAGAGCTTCTGGGGTGTTTATGACTCCTGGGCAGGGGCCTGTGAAAGGTCTAAATTACATGTAAAATCCAGTGTGTGTGTGTGTGTGTGTGCCCATGTGGCTGTATTTTTGTGTCTTTGTAACAAGATAAACAATGCACGTTTTTTCAGAACCATTATCTTTTTTTTTTAATTTTTTAAAATTTCTTTTTTTTTAAAGATTTATTTATTTATTTATTTATTTATTTATACAAGCCCTGGGTACAGTCAGAAGCACGGGAGGGTAGAGAATTCACCAGAGCCAGAGCAGGGAACAAACAGGCAGAGTGACAAAATACACTGCTTAGGGGAGCAGTGGGCAAGGCAGGAGAGGTCTGTGCACCATTTGGGACCCTTGATGGTGGCCAGGGATCAAACTTGCACTGCACAGGCTGGGGGCAGATTTGCAGCCCATTGCTCAACCGCTGCACCACCAGGCCCAGAACCATCATATTTTTAAGGAGAATTTTGTCTGACTCTCTCATGGTCGCTATTAAGTAGTTTTTTTTTTTTTTTAAGAGGTAACTATGTAGACTGGAAAAGAACAAACCTAAAATGATTATAATCCATTCCCAAAGAATAGGGGGGAAATTTGAAAGAAAAGTCTGGATGGAGATAGAGCAGGGAAGGAAGGAGAGGAGTATGTGGGAGAAGAGCCTTCTAGAGGTTTTGGGCACAGTCACCAGTTTTGAATCTGTGCTGTGAAGACACTGTGCAAGACTTGGGAATGAAATACAGTGGGCCTTTTGAAGTACTTCACATAAAGTCACACTTTAAAAACCATTATTGAGGTGACCATCTAATTGCGTTGCTTCTCACATGAGCTCCCCAGTAACCCCAGGGCAGGGTCTGCACAGGGTCCTGCAGGGAAGGTCAGAGATGCAGGTGAAGGGAGATCTGAGTCTCCTGGAGTTGAGTCACATACCCTTTCCCTGCTCAGGGGCTTGTTTATGGTCCTGGACACAGACCCTGCGCCACAGAGAGAGGGGCTGTGGGGAGGGTCCTGTGACCAGGAGTGTGAGGACCCTCCTGAGAGTCTCCCTGGTTCCCCTGGGACTCATTTCCACACAGTGAGGATCATAGCATCATTGTCTTTACCATCATTCCAGCCTCTGCTGAGTTCATGTCTCATGCATTTTTTTTTTTAAAGATTTATTTTTTTTATTTATTTATTTATTTATTTATTTATTTATTCATATAAGCACTGGGTACAGTGAGAGAATTCACCAGAGCCAGAGCAGGGAGCAGAGCAGGCAGAAGGACCGAAGTACACTGCTGAGGGGAGCAGCAGGCGGCAGGAGAGGTCTGCGCGCCATGTGAGACCCTCCTCCGGTGGCCGGGGAGTAGGTGGGGATTGAACTGGTGCTGCAGAGGCTGCGAGCAGCTTCGCAACCCAGCGCTAAAACCGCTGCGCCACCGGGGAGGCCCATGTCTCATGCATTTTAACATAAACTTTCCTTTGGCATGCAAAAAAATGATGTGTTTGAATAAAACACCATTAATATACTAGAATCAACATTTTGATATTGACAGATTCACAGATGGATACATGTGTGATCTCGTATTATTTGTAAAATTCAACAAAAAAATTTTACTTAAAGTTTTCCTACAAAAATGAACTGACTAGCGCAGTCAGTGCACAAACAGTCCTGGGCACACTGTATCTCACATTAAATGCCACTTTGATTTTCTCTTTTTGTTCCTGCTGCTCCTGTTCCTGTTCTCCTCCACGCCCTCTTTTTTATTGTTGTATGAAGAAGCGTGGTGTAGAGCATTAGAGCTGCATGTCAACTAATGTCTCAGCAAAAACAAGTAAATTTATAATCTCCATTTTTTTACAAAGAGGTCACATATATGCCACCCAGTCATTGCATGTGATCTTGTTTCTTGTCAAGCAAAGATGGAAATGCCAGTTTCTCAGAGTGAGCTTGTGCAGGTGTGGCTGGTGTCACACATTTACACACCATGTGCACAAGAAGATGTTGTTCCTTATTCCTATAGATGTGGATCCTGGATTCTCCTCTCTCCCCCTCTCTCCTCACACCATTGCAAAACTCACGCTCTCCCCTGATGGCCTCTCAGAGTCTTGCTGTGTCTGACCTGAGTGCTGGGGAATGACCTGCTTCCTCCTTCCCAGGCAGGTGTGGGGTGGGGATGACATGGCCTTGGGGCCTGGGGGAGAAGGGCCTGTGCTCCCCTTTCAGTCATTTCAGGGGCTCCCCTGGGGCCACTGGTCTATGATCCTGTGTGGCACATGCTGAGGGGGGCAGGGCTCGTCCTGTCTGGTCATTAGGGATTGTGGGTGACCCTCCCTCCACAGCAGAGTCAGGGTCTGGGTCTGTTTCTGGTCAGCAAATTGATGAACCTTCTGGTTTCTTCCTCCTGTCCCATGTCCTTGTCCTGTTCTCCTCACCTGTCCTTCCCTCCCTGCCTGCTCTCCAGGCCCCTCTCTCTTCCTCCATCTCCCCCCAAAGCAGGTGACACTTTGGGGTCCTCATGTGTCCACGTGCATCCTGGGGTCCTGGTGCTCCCTCCAGACCCTCCCCTGCCAGGGCCCTGCTCACCTGCCTGGGCCCCCACATGAGGCATCAGAGCTCCAGCTGCTGCTGACACACGTCACCACACCCTGAGCAGCGTCACCCACAGTTTATCATCTCACACGCCTGCAGGGCAGACACCTGAGACCGAGTCCTGGGACTAACTCCAGGGTCTGGCAGCTCCTTCCTTCCAGGATCCCCTTCCTCTCCCAGGATCTAGGGCCCCCTGCATTGACTGGGGACCCCATCATCTGTCTACACTGTCTGCCATGCAGCCTCTTTATGGCCCTGCTGCCGTCACCATGTGACTGTCTCTGAGCACAGGTGCAGGGTCACGGCTGTTAAGTCTCATGGGATTGGTTCCCACTGATGATGCTCAGTAACATCCCTGTTTCCAGGTCCCTGTCTCTGTCCCACCTGCAGGTTTCTCTTTCCTCTGTCAAGGACACATGTTTACAGGTTCATGGGATGAGGACATGGACACCTTTGAAGTCATTATTCTGCTTCTAGAGAGAGTTTTACTTTGAAGCTTCCATCTTTCTGGGCTCCTCTTGAAGGAAACAGTGTGTCAATCCAATGTGTTTGTGTTCTTCTCTGTCTGCAGGGATGGTTTTGTTTCCACCACACATGAAAATGTGGAAAGTTGTCACTAGTGTTTGATCCTCTCAGTGTGTGTCCATGTTCCCTGCTCTGCATGTCACTCTCCCCCTGGAACCCTCTCCACCCCCTCCTGAGTGGGCAGGACCCTCTGCTGAGTGTCCTGAGTCTCCTCACTCATGTCATAGACACCCCCACATGCACATGCAACTCAGTCACGTTGTGTCATTCTCCCTCTCTCTCTCTCTCTCTCTCTGCCTGTCTCTCCCCCCTTCTTGGACAAACACATTTATTCACAATTAGAGGGGACTCTGCCCACCAGCCCCCATATCTCCAGGTTTCTGCAGATTTTGCACGGCCCCTCAGGCCGCACACAGGCCTGGACTGGTTGTAGCTCTAAGCGCCGTGGCTCAGAGAGAAGTTGCATGTCCAGGTCTGTTAGTTCTTCACAAGCACACGCAGTCCTGGGCATTTCATCTCCATAGAAATTGTTCAAGAAAACCTCGTTTCCAGGATGGGCCTGTGGCTGTGACTTGGAAAGTATCATTTGATGGTTGTGTCTGGGTAAAGACCTTTCTGTGCAGTTGGTGTTCAGCCTCTTACCCCTGAGTATTAAGCTTTAGGTCTTAAATCATGGAAATTTGCAGCATAACAACTGTGTGTGTGTGTATGTGCATGTGTGTATGAATCTAAAAGTTAAATGCATCCACTAAATGTTTCCAAATATTTTCAAAATGTTTCCAAATATTTCCCCCTGTGAACTCTGTGTCACTGTCTTATAGAAAAATAGGTATGGGCCCTGATGTGTGAGTATCTAGAGTCCCTCACGTGACATGTGTATCTCTTACAGATTGGCAGAAGGAGCAGTTCCGGGCCTGTGAGTGACTGTTCTCTCTGGGGCTGCTCAGCTTCTGGCTTTTCCTTCTGTTCTTTGTATGGGCACAGACTCTGAACACTCTGTGGGGGTCGGGTGGTTGTAGTTGTGACATCACACAGCTGAGCTGGGGGTGATTTGTCATGTGTGGTGAAGGGGCTCCTTAGTCCTTGGGGTCTGGGCGGGTCCCCAGGTATGGTCCTGTGACATACTTGACCCCCAATAATCTTGTGGCTCCTTCTCTTGCTTGGGGGCTGTGGACTGGGGTCACCAGGCTCTCATTTCAGGGAACATAACCCTTTCCCCATAAAGCTGAGTATCGCGTGAGGCGGTGTGTGCCCTCTTATGTCAGGCTGGCACATGGGTTTTCTGCAGGGCCTGCCACTCTGGATCCAGGTTCTTGCCATTAGGGAATTGCCCTCTCTCATGACAAGAAGAGTCTGACCTGTCATCACACTGGAATGGAAGGAGGATACAGTGTTTGTGGTCTTGAGGGCATCACATCAGGGCGCTGTTACTGGGAGGTAGAGGCAGGAATGCAGACAGAACTGCATGAGTTCTGGGGGTTTGTAGGGAAGGTGATAAAATTAAATAAAGTGCTCCATCCCCACTGAATGGGAAATGGGTTTTTGGCCGGCACAACAACATTTTCAAAGCCTTCACTGACCCTCGTACTCCGCTACCCCTTAGTCAGGTTCCCCACAGGCTGGGGGTTTTCCTGGACTATAATCACGTGGACGTCTCCTTCTATGACATGACTGATGGCTCCCACATCTTCTCCTTCCCTCCGGAGTCCTTCTCTGGAACCCTCTTTCCATACTTTGGGTGTTATTCAGGAGACGTGTCCATGACCCTCTGCCCCCGGAGGCTGGGCCCCAGAAGCCCTCTGTGCCATTGTAAAAGGGTGGTCCCCAGGAAAGGGGGAGGTTCCAGGTTCCCTGCCCCACCCAAGGGAGGGTGGAGCTGAGCAGGGAGAGAAGAAGCTGGAGAGGAGACTGAGGAAGGAAGGAAGCAGGATGGAGCCAGAAGGAGACCAGGAGGAGGCACATGGAACAGGGAGAAACGTGAGGAAACTGCGCTTGCCTTTTGGTTGTGGACGGTGTGACACAGATGTAGGTGAGACCCGTGGGGAGGTGAAAATAGCAGCTTTTATCTTGATTTTGATTTTGCTCTTTTCCTTCTGGGCTTGTCTGGTTGTTTCTGACCCTTTTCTGTGGGTCCCCACTGGAAGTTGCTTTGGAACTTGTGGCAGGCTTTGGGGCCTTGCTCTGGGCCAATCCCATTTGGATGAGGTTTAACCAATGGGGACGGGTAACTTTGGGTGCTTAATTTAGAAACTATATTCTTTGCCTTTCCTGTATTGTTTCCTAGTTGTATTAAAGTTCCTTCCCATTAAAGTCTCATATGTTTTGTGTTGATGTGGCGGATGGCAGAATCCATTTAAAATAGGCAGGTTTACAGGGTCTGGGCTGCCCCTCTCCCTGCCCTATAACACCATGAACCAACCTCCTTCTCTGGGGGATCCCCCAGGGGAGGGGATCCCCTGAGGCTCTGGTGTGGATGGGGCTCCCCCAGGGCCTGAAGCCCCCCTCCTCCCCTGCACCCCTGAGACTGTGTCCCCATGAGGCTCCTCCCTGCCCAGCCCTGCCCTGGGCTCTTCTTGGGGCTGCAGGTTCCCTGTGGACAAACCTGTGAGTGAGTCCCAGATGCTGGAGTCTCATCCTCCTGCTCGGGGTGCAGATTCCTGGGCCATGGCTGTGAGAACAGTCAGGTCCTGCCTTGTGCTGAGACATAACTTTGAACCCATTTAAGGTCGGGTGAATTTTTCCATGGGAAATCATTTGTCTTTTGGTAAAGAAAATATTTAACAAGGATTTTATACTGTTAGGTCAAGAAATGGGTTGAGCTCTGAATGATTCTCCTACATTAATTGGAGTTTACTTTGTCCAACTTGATTTTGTGTGGAGGAACCTAGAGCCTGATGGGTCCCCAGATCTATTTTTTGGGGTCTGGACTATCTGACCAGAAAACTTCTGCCTCCAAAATATTTGGGGAAATGGCAGATGATGGACTTTAGAGGAGCCAAATATTCTGTTATCAGCTTCCACTCTGGAGTGGATGAAATACACTTAATTTTCTCAAACCTGATGAATTTCTATGACCAGTGATAAACTTGTGGTGTATTAATTTGGTGACCTCAGGAGAAGGATCTGGTTCCTCTTTTGTGTCAACACCTATTGGGAGCCACGCTACTCATGTCGTCTGACAAAAGTCCGGGGTTGGGGCAGATTTCTGAAAAATCAGGAATTTCGTTAGCTGACTCCAAGATTTTCCTCATTTGTTTATGGCTAGTTTTTACCATTGCTAAAATACGCATTTAAAAGTAAAACTGCAAATACTGATCAATCACTGAATAACCAAATTGATGGCAAATGGCACTGCATGATACAAATATTACATTTTTAATAAAATTAGTCCTTCTCTGCCAAAAGGCAGACAACATTTGGCCTGACATTAACAAGTAAAAAAAACTTCTGGGAACAAAAGGCTATAAACATCCCTTGGCCAAGTCTTTAATATGGAGATGTGGTCATTTGAGGCAAGAGCTAATTGGAGAAGGAAATTCTATTTCTTTAAAGATAGCAGTTGGGTGGCAAACGTGATCCATGCTCCAAGTGTAAGAAAATTCCTGATGAGCCAGGAGGCGCCATAGCTAACTCCTGCTAAATTCTTCCTGTTTGTTTAGGGCTGATTCCCCTGGAGGTGACAATTGGTATGGTAGCTGTTAGAGTATGCGTTCAAGAATAAGTCAACAGCAATTTTATGATTGGTCGAGCTAAAACAATATAAATAATAATTTCTAAATAAAAGCCTTCTGTTTTTTACTTTAATCAATTAGTTATATGTTGGTCTAAACTTTATAGGTTAGTTAGAAATAATCTTTGTCTCCCTTCCCCCAGGTAACTTCCTGCCCTTTGTTTCCCTCAGCCCATAGTTAATCGTTCACCATGGCAAACTTAGAAATGTTAGTTGTAGACACATAGGCTTTTTGCTAGTAATAAAATAACTGTTAGATTGTTTAAAGTAAATAACTATTTTGAAAACATTTGTTTAGCAACTGTGCCTTCTTTAAGACAAAGAATAATAAATGTTACACCTCTGCCGGAAGGCAGACCCTTGGCGGCTCCTGAAAAAGGACATGTGATGATTGTTATCTTCCTACCTTATGCTTGTGTACTCATGATTTGCTTAGTATAAATAAAGGGCTGCTGAGACCCTCAGCAGGATGATGTCAGCACCCTGATCAAGTGTCTGCGTCTCCTCATTCCCTCTCCCCCTTCCCTTACCATTTTCTTTACAATTGCGCCGACGCCTTCCCATCCTTCAGGAACCCCTGACACCTAGACTGCTGCGGCTGGCTCGCAACAAACACCATTTGGAAAGCAGATAACTTCTCCCTGAATTAAGATGAGAATGAAGAAGAGACTCTCAGACTCAGGGTGACTTGGGGAGCTGGGACCTGAGCTCCAGGTGCCCCTGTGCTGACTCCGTTCTTCCATGTCCTGAGGCAAAGTGTCATGGGAACCACAGCTGCCAATGGAAGCAGGATCCTGAGTCCCAGACTTGCAGGGAGGAAGGTGTGATCCTCCCCCAGGGGACACTGACGTGGTTCTGGTAAAGGAGAAGATGGAGAAGGGGAGCGGGGAGGAGTCAGACATCATGATGGTGTGTGACTGTAAAGAGACTGTAATAGTTTTAACTATTTCTCTTCTGTGTGTTCATTTGTTTATCACACATTGTCTTCATTTGTCATCTTCCCTTGTGCTTTTATACAAGTTGATGTAGTTATTGTGTATAATATAGTTTTGGGTAACAGAATAGATAAAGGTACTGTGAGCAAATTTGAGAAATGCCTAATATGGCATGTTAGATACAAAAATTGGGGCTGTCTGGCCCTTCATTTTGGGGAAAGATGAGCACTTCTTCACTTGTAAAGGCAGCTTTCCCTTGATATTTAAAGATAAGCAGTGTATATATTGTGAGTGTGGGGCTGAGGAGTCGAATGCATGGACTCTCCCATCACACATTTACTCCTGTAGCTGTGAGAACAGTCAGGTCAGGCCTTGTGCTGAGGCCACAGATGGTGAAATTGACTGACTTGAACCTGTTTGGGGTAGGAAGAACGTTAGCACGGGAGATCATTTTTCTTTTCATAAAGAAAATATTTCAAGGGGTTTTCATACTGTTTGGACAAGGAAGGGAATGAGCTATGAATTCGGGTCCCAAATTAACTGGATTTTATCCAACTTTAGCTGTGCTGAGGAATCCAGGTGTTGAGGAATCCAGGTGCTGAAGAATACTTTATGTTTATGATATATTTTTTGGGTAACAGATAAACAATTGAATTGTGGCTGAACTTAAGAAATAAGTAATATAGATACAAAGATTGGCGCTGTCTGTTCTGGAGACGTGTAAAGGGAGCTTCTCTTAGTAGTTAAAAACATACAATTGTGTTGTGTGGTTGTTCAAATGTGTGAATTGTGTGTGGAGCTGAGTAGTCACAGGTGTGGACTCTCCCATCACCCATTCATGCTTCCTGGCCCACATCCCCCACGCACCCTCCTGGGTGACCAGGAGCTGGACCCCAGGAGCATGTCCCTTGGCCCCCTGCACAGTGTCAGGATGAGCCCTGGAGGGGACACTCCAGTTACAGCTGAGGACACGCGTCTCTCCTGGTCGTGCTGCCTTTCTTCAGGATCCTACGATGGGATGTTTGTCATTTTTAGGATTTACCCTCAGCTACTATCCATGAAATTTTTCCTTCTATTGATCTGAAAAACTATTAAAAACTGATAAATAAGTAAGGTGTGTGTCATGTCTTTTGATCTAATGGGGCATTACAGAGATTTTATAATTAGATTCAAACTTATGTAACTATTTAGAAAATGTATAAGGTTTGACTTGGGTTTTTATAATTAATTAAGGATGTGTTTGCCGTGAAGTCACATGTGGTCTGTAAAGCAAAAAAGAGAATTCCAAAGACTATAATTTTTTATCCATGGATATTACCACTTTTCTTCTTTTTTAGAATATTTTAAGTTGCTTTCATGCTGGACAATAAAGGATTTATTCTTCAAAATCCTCTTTGTAGCATGTTGTGATAATACCAATACTATCACTGATGAATTAATATTAATTGATTATATATTTTTCTGAGAGTCATGTTTATGATTTCATAAAAACTATACAAGATTACTTATTTTAAGGTAAGTAAGACATAAGATGCAGCCTGGGAAGCTGTCTGCTGTCTCTGGATCCCCGGCCGGCCAAGGAGCTGACCCATATGGTGCAGCAGGCCTCTCCTGACTCACCCATGGTCCTCTCAACAGTGTACTTAGGTCAATCTGCCTGTTCTGTTCCCCATTCTGCCTCTGGTGTAATCCTCTCACCGCCCTGCACCTCTAGCCCCCAGCTCTTGTATGCATAAATAAATAAATCTTTAAAAAAAAAAGAATTACTTATTTTAAGACAGATTTTTATACAGGAAACTTTGTATTGTTTATAGTAGAAAATTTTTATGCTAGTCAATTTAAAGTAAATGCATTAAAAAAAACGGCCTTTAACATAAAAATGAGAAACTGAAATATTAGTTATAATATAGGTAACTTCCCCTCCCCAATAGGCTGAAGAGATGCCTGAGGAGAGGAGGAGACACCAGGCCCCAGACGGGACAGGGCAGACCCTGGGTCTAGACTGAAGCTGCTCCTCTGACACTCATGGTCCTGCTGGGAGCCATGCTACTGGTTGTCTGACAAGGGTCCGGGCATGGGGCAGATTCCTGAAAAGTCAGGAATCTCCTTAGCTGACTCCTGCTAGATTCTCCTCATTTGTTTATGGCTAGTTTCTATCATTGTTAAAATACGCATTTAAAAGTAAAACTGAAAATGCTGTTTGATCAACTACTGAATAACCAATTTGAGGGCACAGGGCACTGGGTGATTCATTGATAACATTGGTTAGTTAGCATACAAATTCTTGACACAGGTAAAAGGGAAGGACGCAGCTTTTTGAGATTGGCCTGGAGAACAACCAGCCCAGCGGGCTGCCAGGCCTTGTTCAGATATGCTGATTAAGGAAGCAAACTTACATTTCCATGTCTCTGGCCCTTTACCAGGGAAAGAGTTCCTTTTCATCAAGAGTTCCCTTTTTCCTTAACAATTCCCTTTCATTTCCTTAACAGTTCCTTTTCCTGAACAGTTCCCTTTCAGTGCCAATTGGTATGGTAGCTTCAAAATAAAGAATGTTACAACCTCTGCTGAAGGGCAATTAGATCCTTGGCTATTCTTGAAAAAGTTGTGATGATAGTTATCATTTTATATCGGGGTTGCTCCGTAGCAATCTTACTACTCCAATGCATATGTTTATGTACCTTGTAATGTATAAGTAAAGGGCTGCTGAGACCCTCAGCAGGATGATGTCTGCCCCCTGACCAAGTGTCTGCATCTCCTCACTCCCCTCCCCCTCTTTTCCACAATTGTGTAGACGCCCTCCCATCCTTCAGGAACCCCTGCCACCCAGGCTGCTGTGGCTGGCTCACGGCATCGTCCTTCCCACCTCAGGAGCTTGTCCACCCCCAGCTGAGCCCCAGAGTCCATGTCCCCAGAGTCTTGGGCAGGACTTGTCCCCTCATCCTCTGTGAGCTGTTCCCCACCCTGCCTCCCTCCTCTCTCTCTCTCTCTCTCTCTCTCTCTCTGGGCTCAGGGAGAGTCCTCTGAGGAGGTGAGATCTTCATCCAGAGGGAGAGGAGCCCCCAAGTGGGCAGGGCAGGGCAGGATTTGGGAGAGTCAGTGCCCTCAGTATCCTCCTCCCAATATGGCTTTTGATTCTCCTCATGGGGATCCCAATCCTCTCCCAGCTCTGTGGGGACCTTGTCATCACTGATATCAGGCAGAGCAGACAGGGCTCCTTCAGCCCTGGGGGTGCTCCTGCCTGATACTCCCATGGGGCCCATCTCATGTCCTCCTTATTTGATCTCTATGTTTTCTACCTCTGACAGTCACGTGGCCTTTCCCATGCACCTGAAGGGATCTGTCATAATCTGTGTTGATCAGGAAGATGATCCATGTTCCCCCTGACATCATCCTCTCAGATGCCCCAGAGACACGAACCCCAATTTGGAATTCTGCCTCTGACCAGCTGCCCTGGGAAGCCAGAGGTCACCTGCTCCAGGGGAGGAGTGTGTCCCCTGCTGAGAGCCACCCCAGGGCAGGAGGCCTCACCCTGCAGGGGGAGGGGAAGGGAAGGCCCAGGACCAGGGTGCAGGTCCCCTTGGGGAGGGACAGTCTCTCTCAGCATCTGGGCCTCCCCTCTGCCCTCCTGCACTTTAGTCAGGGAGGGGCCACCTCAGAGGAGGAGAGGATAGAGGGGGCGTAGTGAGGGGCTCAGGGGACCACTTGGACATGTGGTGTTACTAGAAGGTTCTGGTGCCAGTTGGGTCTCCCATGTGTCCTGATGCAGGAGCAGCTCCAGGAGGAAGGAGCAGAGCTGACTGACAGGGAGAGTGAGGCTGCTTCTCCCCCACAGGAGCTGGTCTCTGCTGGGCAGGGGGCAGGAGCCATGATGAGAGCAGTGCAGGGGGAGGGGGTGTGAGGGGCAGAGGGACAGAGGTGACCTGGAGGGTGAGGCCAGGGCCCTGGGGATGAGCTTGGGGGTCACTGGGGAGATGTGGGAAGGAGGGTCTGAGGCTGGTCCATCCAGTGAGGGTGCAGGTCCCCAGGCAGCTGGCCCTGGTTTCAGAATAATGTGGACACAGAGCTCAGAGTCTGGTCCTGAACCCTTGTCTGTGTCTTTATTGCATTTGCTCCCTTACCTGTTTATTTGGAAAGTTCATTTAAAAAGTACCTCAGTGGCCAGCCCAGTGTCTGCAGCTATAATACTGTAATGAACATTTAAACATTTGTTAAGGGAATGAATCATATTTAAAGAACCCTTTTTTTTTAAAAGATTTATTTATGTGTACAAGAACTGGGGTACAGGCCAGAGATGTGAGGGGTGAGAGGATTCACCATAGAGAGAGTGGGGAACAGAACAGGCAGACTGATGAAATACACTGCTGAGGGGAGCAGAGCGAGTCAGGAGACTGGAGAGGAGCCCCCTCCCTGGGCCATGTGGGTCACTCCCTGGCCGGGGATGGAACTTGTGCTGTAGTGGCTGCAGATGGCTTCATAGTTTGTGTCTTTACCCCTTGCGCCACCAGGAAGGCCCACATTTGAAGAATCTTGACACACATTAATTCTTTTTTTTTTTTTAGAGGCATGTATTTTTATTTATTTATGATTTATTTATTTGTTTGTTTGTTTGTTTTTTGTTTATACAAGCACTGGGTACAGTCAGAAGCGCAGGAGGGTGAGAGAATTCACCAGAGCCAGAGCGGGGAGCAGAGCAGGCAGAAGGACCGAAGTACACTGCTGAGGGGAGCAGCGGGCGGCAGGAGAGGTCTGCGCGCCATGTGGGACCCTCCTCCGGTGGCCGGGGAGCAGCCGGGGATCGAACCGGCGCCGCAC